TATTACCTGTGTTGAGAGGCTTTGAAGAACGAAGCATAACACAATAGAGGCTATTCTTATTCAATGACATGTAAATGAGTGGCCGGGTATTCTGCATTCTAGCCGGCATTCTACATCCTTGAAAGAACCTTAGATTATCCTGTACATCATGTGATATTTACAGGACTTGGCATTTTTTTTTTTTTTTTGGGGGGGGGGGGGAGGACATTTAATTTTTGATGCTATTTCTTATAAATGAAGTTGATTTCAAGATTGTTTTCATAGTGAACCCGTTTCCATGCTAATTTCATTTGAAGATGAATCACACTTTATAGTAACCTTTTGTTTCACTTTTTTTTACTGCTTAGGTCCTAACATAATTTAGTCTGACATTCTTTGCAAGTTGCCTGGAAATTAAAGACACCTCCTTTGTGTCTGGTCTTTCTTCCAACAAAAATTTTTGATTACAAATGGGAAAGAAGATTGTATGCCAGCACCGCAAGCCACAAGATAACTAAAGAAAGAGAGAAAGTTTTATTTTCAATAAATTCTCATCCCATTAACTTACAAATTTATTTGAATGTGTATTTATGCATTTTTTGTGTTGATTAGATGAGTTTAAATTAAAGAATTTTTTCTCTACAAAGTACATAGTTCTGCTTCATACAGATCTGTGAAATGTTTGGGTTTAGTTTAAAATTACAAAGCCATATTCTAAAAAGGTTATTTCACAATTTTAAGGTTATATAGTCAGCTCTTGACAGTGATAGTAGTGAAATGGCAACAAGTTTATCTCAAATGTTGTATATGAAACTTTACTTAAACTAATGGTTAGAAAGGTTAACAGAGATATACAAGTGTATAAATTAAAAATAAATTTACCACCTTCCAGGAACAGTTTAATACATATGTGTTATTGACCAATTGTGAGGTCAAGAGAGCTGGATATTGGCTGAGTTATTTTTTTTGCACTTTTGTGAACGGAGACAAAGTTGAGGTCCATAAAAACAAAAAAGGGAGGAGGCTAATCATCTGCTATATTAACCAAGCAAGCTTGGTCCAGTAAGGATTTATTATATGGGAAAAAGATTTCTTTTTATTATAAGAATCAAGAATTGCTTATTTATTTCAAGAGCCTGGAAAGAAAGCCAACTGTGTTTGTAGCTCAATAAACCCTTAAGAGTTGTTTATGTTTCCTTTAAATTTGACTGTCTTCTGCTACTTTTTGCTTCTCTGTTGCAGACAGTATTTGAAAAATTATGAAACTTTGTAGGTTTACTCCATGCTGTTCCACACAGGGGTTATCTTGTGCGAGATCAAAATGGCTAATTCAGAGCGGACAAGATGTACCCATCTTGCTTGCTCAGGTAGCCAATCAGGACATGGGCTTCAAATTACCCACTTGCAAATTAGCAGATAACCAAATTATTACTCCCAATTTCATGAGCAATTCTCAGTATTAATGATTGGAACATTCTTGGTTGAGTGTCGGCATTTTAAGCCATTCATTTAACCGCATTCCAAAATCGTACCCCTTTAACCCTCCAGGGATTATTCGACATACTTTGTAATCCACCGTCCCGTAGTCCATTGTCCACACATCGTTGGGAACTTAAATCATGTGACCCAAGAGAAGTTACTACGCAGCTTCAAACCCCTCCCTCTTGGTGCGGAAAAGTGGTGTTTGATGGAGTAGACTTTTAAGCAAGGGATCTTTTGCATCAATCATGGGTTGAGTTCCTTAGTTCTTTAGCTTGTAATCGTGTCTTCAAGTGATTGGTTCATCCGAAAGGTTGTGGTCATAACTTTTAGAGGGTTTTAGCCATGGAAACCTGTATGTAGCAGCAATTTACATGTGCCCGAGTGATCAAAGGTATGCGATTAGGGAATTACCACTTTCCATCGTTTCGGGGACCGTTCGATGCCACTTTTCAGATTTAAAGTTTTTCTGGTTATTTCTAAATGATTAACTGTTCCTTCACGTTATGTCCAAGGTTGTAGTGAGGAAACATGCAAATGGTCATCAATTTG